TTTTCATGCATAGACTCTGGATTGCTAATTAATTTTTATTCAGTATCAGGGATAATTCTGTAAAGAGGAATCTATTTTCTCTAAATTTTCTAAGTAAAACATTTAAAGGTGGTTTTACTTTTTCAAAAATATACCAAAATGGGTAACTTGAATGTTTTTTTCATAGTTCTCTCTTCCCTCAAAAATATACTGAAACCTCCCAAAAATGTCTTTTAAAGTCTGACATCAGTAAGTAATTGAGAATGATTTAAAATCTGTCCTATAGCCCATCTTCCCTAACCCTTTTTTTCCAATTTCCAAAAGCAATATGACCTAATTTGAAATTCTCAGATATGGTAACCCAAATATTTTCTCCTTTACCTTGAATAATGGTTCATTAAATTTGCAGAAGACTCCATGTTCCAAGCTATAATGAACCTTAAAATTGTTCTGATGCATGTTCATCAGCCTTTCAAAACCTATCAAAACAGGATCTGTCCTGTTCTCATAAAACTCACTCCAAATTCATCAACTCAATCTATAAAGTGCCAATCTAAGAGATTTTCAACAACTAAGTATTTTCTCCACACTTTAATTAAAAATAGAGCTCCTTGAGTTCATAGATATAATTGTAGTACTAAACAAAGGGTCCAGGGAGAAGTCTACTTGTGGTATTTTCTTTCCACTACCTTGGTGATGAGAGAATGAGCTGTTCGAAAAACAAGCCACAACCTTCTTGTGACTGTTGCTGATTGTTTAAAGGATGTAGAGGACAGACTAAATGAGAAGCTAACTTCACACACTTAAACAATGGCAGCCAAACTTTCAATATTTGTTCCAAGTATTACACTTGAAAAAAAAGCATTGTAAGCCTTCAGCCTGTGTATATCAGAAATGAGTATTTTTTCCTGATTGTAGAGGGTGCGACTGATGCTCGCAAGTTGCATCACTGGCAGACGCATTCAGAGAAGCAGAATCAGCCCTGGGTTTGTTTTCACTTTGGAATTTACTATTGTATTTATCACTCTTCCTCACTGACAACCCCCTCTCTCCACCTCCTTGAGATTTGGCAGTCTTGGCTACCAACTCAAAATGCCAGACACAATACATTGGCCTCTGTGCAGCAGGACCTGCAGAGCATTTTGGTCCCTTCAACCACAGGCCTTGTATGAGAGGTGGAGGAACAGGAACAATTCTCTGCCACCAAAGCCCTGCATCACCTTTAGAATAGCCTCACCTCTCGCTCAATAAGGAGCAGCCCTGGAGCTGAGGGGGGGAGTTGCAATGCCTGTGCCAGGCTGTGGCAGGCCAGCCTGCCCCCCAGCAGGCAGCTGCGTGGGGGGGCCCGCTTGGCTGGAGTACTGCTTAGTCAGGCCCTAACACTGAGCCAAGCTGCAGATGTGCCCAGACCTGCCGCCACCAGGTGTCTGTCTCTGGGCCGGGAGGTGACGGCACAAATGTGACTCTTGTCTCCTGGTGTTTCCTGACACCTCAGAGGAATGTGGAAAACTCAGGAGAGGCCACCGCAGAAGGCCTCCGACAGGACAGCAGCCCTCTGCCCACCTTGCTATATCAAAAGCCTCTGCCTACCCTGCTCCTTTAACCCTCATCCAGTTCTCTTGCCAATAGCCCCGGGGCTCGGTCCTCCTCTGGGCCACTGGTGGGCTCAGGTGAGAGGCGGCTACCCCCTCAGGCAGATTACCTGCCTGCCTGCCTGCCTGCCCTGCTGTAGTATGTTGTTCTCATCATTAGTGCCCAAACCTCCATAGCTACAAGGTGATTTCTTCTTTTGAGTACAGTGGTTCCCATGATTAAAAAAGTATTCTTTAAAATTTTTTTCAAGCTTATTTGTCCCCATTGGGGGAAAACATCTGGTGAGGATCACTTTCCTAAGAAGAAGCAATTCTGTATTTAACAAAATTATTAACACCTGAAGGGGGTATTCTAAAGTGTAAATATTGGAAAGGTTACCACCTCATTCGTGGACTCTGAATCCAACACAACAAAGTTATGTCTAATCTCAGTGTGACTTTTAAGAATTCTGCTTAAAACTTAGCAGACTGTGCATTGTTCTCCATCAGGAATGATATTCACTCTGCAAATATTTTGCACACCTACTATGTACTATAAGCCCAGGCCTCAAGAAGACATCACTATGTAGCAGACGATGCAAATGAACAGCACATTGGCCAGATTCATCTCGCATTTTGTTTGATTCACACCATATTTATCAAAAATTTGAATTAGTTTGCCAACTTTTAAATATCAGAGCATTTCCAGCTTCTCTTGAAAACTCAGGAAATCTGGCAAAAACTGAGCCCACATTCCCGTTTGATGACAAGCAGAGAACTACTGCCCACTTTAGACAGGCACTGGCTCTCAGCTAGCACTGCCCCCACCTGACCAACTCTCAGTGTTAGTCTCTGATTCTGGGCATGGGGAGTCACAGCACACCCGCCCAGGGAAAGGCCTCACTCACAGACAGAACAACCCAACCAAGCCCCTCCTCTCAGAAGAGCTGACTCTTACCTCCTTAAGATCAGGTCACAAGGATTTTCTTATTTTGTGTCTTCTCAATATTTCTCCTTTTAAATAAAGTTATATATAACTTTATATATAACTTATATATAAAGTTATATACATATATATATATATATATATATACCTGGTAATGTAAAGTTAGGGAAGACACTCTGTTTTTATCCCTTGCTAAGACAAGGAACTTGACGCAAAAGGAAATGGCAAGGCGGAAGCACAGGAGCCAAAAGTGAGGACTGTGAGAGCACAGTGGTCTCTGGGGCATGCCCTCATTTGCCAGATGAAGAAACTGAGGCCTAGAGGAGGGGAAAGCCATGCCAAATCCCACTGCTGGCCAGTAGGAGAACAGGAGCATGACCTGGGTGGTCTTTACCCCGTCAGGACCACATTCCTGTCTACATGCATGGGTGGTTTTTCAGGCCCAGATTCTGCTTACATGTTTCCAAGGAATGGCAGAGACACCCATCAAATCTGGGAAATAAATTTGAGGGCTGATTTCAGAAGTCACTACTATCAGGTACATGTTTCTAAATGAACCTGCAGAAGATGAATTCGTAATTTTCATCTAGACCTACTGATTCCCTATATTTGGGCCAAAATTGTCATATTTGAAAAAAATATGTCTGTTGATCTCAACGGTGCATGTTGGGAGGAGCAGCCTGTTCTCAAACTGTGTATTGCCCAAATCCTCCTTGTGTTTGTAACCAGGAGCAGAGTTAAAGCAAGTCAATCCTACCAGTCAGGCCTGAGACAGGGTTTCATATCAGCTTTCATAGATGCAGAAAGTGAGGCCAAGAATGCTGACACCCTCGGCCAGTTTCCCATTGCTGGGAACGGGCTTTTCCCCCATCATTCTGCCTTCGAAACCTGAGTTGTGTCTGCTACAGCAGCTCACAGCACAGAAGCAACTAAGATGCGTAGTGAGTGACCAAAGGGGTTAAGACAAGGACCCATCACAACTAGGCTACAGAATCCAATAAGCATGATTAAAGAGGCAGAAACAAGTGCCTGGGGGGCAGGAGAGGACAAAAGCTCATGAAGTGGAGGCTGGAAGGATCATGTAAGGCCTCTGAGACGTGGTGGCATTCCAGAAAGTCCTTGTGTTACAACAGGCATACAAGAGAGGAGATGCAAGGCCAGAGGGATGAGAGGTGAGCTGCAGTGCCAGGGCTTTGGCATTGGAGTTAATAAAGTAAAGCTTCATAATGAAGTTAACCATATGAAGAAACGAATCTTCTCCCCAGGCCAGGGTCCATCTCACATGGCTGTGTGACTTCATACCTGCAAGGAAGGCCACCACCTGCAGATCCAGGACACTAATCTGGCCACATGCCAGATATGTGTCCAGCCTGGGGACAGGCAGCAGGGCCCTCTGGACCCCAAGAAGCCCAGACACCCATACTTTCTTCTTCAAGCCCTTAATGCTCCGCTTTCCCTCTTCTTTCCCCCAGAGGCCTTCTGTCTTCCTGGGCCTTCCAGAGCCAGAACCGGGCACCCTCTGTGCGACTGAGGGCAACTCTCTTCTTTTTCCCTTTCATGTGAAGAGAGAGCTTTGTTTCCTTTTCAAGGATCTCCACCAGCAGCAAGGCAGGTGGAATGAATCGGGGAAAGAGGAAGCAGGACACCCCCCCTCCAAGTCTAGACTTTAGAGAATCCTTTCAAGGACCTGCAAGGGCCGCAGAGAGAAGGTCTGATTCGCCGCAGGTTCTGCGTGTGCCCTGCCCGCCCAGCAGCTGTGGGCGATCTCTGCCAGCTGCCAGGGCTCAGGGCGCCGGTGTCCTCAGCCCCCCGCCTCGCCTCGGGGGCGCCCAGCTCGTGTGCTTTCCCAGTACACTTGCTTTCTTTTTATCCTTAGCATCCAGTTCAATGGGCGAACATTTCATCCCATTTTACAACTGAAACAGTTGAGGCTCGGAAAGCAAAGACACTTGTCCTGGGCAAGTAGTAAAGCTGGGACTTTAACTCCTTAGGCCACCGAGGGGAAGGAGTGCTTGTGCGCGTTACTAAAGCCTCCGGGCGGCCCCCTTCTCCACCCCCTGGGGCGCGTCCCCCACTTCCTGGGGCATAAACTCCGACGGTGAGGGGGGCCAGCCCCCCGCCGCCGCCCCGCGGGACCCCGAGGGCGCCCCCGGGCAGGTGGGGAGGCGGGATCATGCCCTGAGAGGACAGCCAGGGAACTTCAGAGCGTCTCCCTTCCCGGGAGAGGCGAACACCGACACGTCTGTGTCTTTCACCGACAAGTGCCTTCAAGCCCGGCGGGGGCAGACACCTCCGGCGCGGCCTCCGCGGGCTGCGAGGGCCACGGCCTCGCCTCAGCTGCACTGACTTAGTGCGTTCGGGCCGCCTGAGCCGCAGGCGTCTTCCCGGGCGGCGCGGCGGCCCGCAGCCCAGGGCGACTCGGCGGCCCGGGAGGAGGGGCGGGGAGGCGGGCGGAGGGCGCCCGGGGCGCAGGGGGCGGGCGTGCGGGCACACGCGGAGCGCGGCCCGGCGCCCGCGGAGCCGCCCACTTCGCCGGGTCGGGCCCGACGGCGGGAGCTTGGATGCGTCGGCGCCCGCCGAGCCGGGGCGGACGCGGGGCGGCCCGCGCCGGGAGGACGCGCCGGGAGCCCTGGCACCGCAGCGGCCGCAGGATGGCTGAGGTAAGCGCGGCGCGCTCCGCGGGCACGAAGCCGGACGCGGCTTGGCGGGCTCCCGGGGGACCCGGAGGCCACCTGCGGGCGCCCAGAGGCGGCGGGAGGGAGCCTCGTCCCCGCCGGGAGGGCGGGAGGGCTCGGGCCGTCGCCGCCCGACGTCCAGAGCAGCCCGGGCGTGTGGGACGAACGGGTCTGGGCGAGACTCCAGCACCCCGCGCTTCGGTCCAGGACTCTCGCTTGGACTTGCTGTTCCAACCTGTGAGATGTGGCCCCCTTTTTATTTGTCTTTTACCTCAGAATTAGTGATATTTCCGAGAGACCGTTTTCTGCCAGGACTTTGTTTCTCGGGAGAACAGAGCGAGTGTGTGGTGAATGCGGTCACTCGTGAGGAGAACTGCGGGGCGGGCGGGCGGGCGGCCGCGACGGGGCTCCTGCCCACCGCGGGACAAACCTTTTGTGAGACAACAGCCACCGCGACAGAAAGCCCCAGCGGCTTCGCAAATCCCCATCCAGGCAGGTCCTGTCAGGAAGCCTCTCGGCGGGGAAGGTGCGGGACAGGGTCTGCCGTGTCGCAGCGGACCGTGTGGCCCTAGGGACGGTTCCGCGTGCGGCGCCCCCGCCCTGCGGCGCGCGGCTCGGGGTGCGGGCGCCGTGCGCCCACGTGAGAGCAGACCGCCGTGTCGCCACGCCGAGCGGTTCACCTGCGAGCGACGGGAGGTGAGCCGGGCTGCCGAGCCCGAGCTGTCCCCGCGCTGCCTTCAGGTTTCCGCCCGGCAGGCGGCCCCGGGGGCCCTTCCCGTCCCCTGCTCTGAGCTCCCCGGACGGCTCGGTCCGGCCTCGGGCCCCGGGAGCTCCGCGCCCGCCCGTCTCGGGACGTCCCTGCGGGTCCCCGCGGGGAGCCGGGCGGCGAGGCGGGCGGGCGCGGAGGAGGCCGCTGTCCCGCGGGCGCCGCGGCCAGCCCCCAGCCCCACCGGCTGCCTGGCGTTGCAGGGGCCGCTAAGGCTTTGTCAGCCAGATGTGAGGAGACTGTGGAGAGGGAGTGCAGGAGGAGATCTGAGATCAATCAGAGCATAGCTCGGAGCCAAACTTTCCCAAATGCGGTATAGAAACATGCTCTCCTCATTTAAGGCGTCCCTGTGTGGCTGTGGGGCTGCCACCGGTCTGAGTTTGACAGTGTGTGGAATGCCAGCGAGCAGCCCTGCGTGCCAGCGAAGTGGTGGTGTCGGGCGGGGTCGGACCCTGGGCTTCAGCCGCGTCCCCTGCTTTCAGCGCTCTGAAGGCCAGGGCGTTTACACCGGGCCAGACGCCTGCTCTCCGCCAGGCCTCTGCTGTTAACACTTAAGGGGCCTGAAAGAGGCCCCACTGGTGTCCTGGGAATCCCTGTCAGAGAGGGTGTGTGTTTGTGTGTGTGTGTGTGTGTGTGTGTGAGAGTGAGCGAGCGAGCGAGTGTGTGTGTGTGTGTGTGTGTGTGTGTGCGCGAGAAAACATGTGTTACTGCATGGGACCGCAGAGCAGATGTAGCAACCGTTTTTTAAAAATATATTCTTCTCATTAAAGCGACAAGATTTTGGCTTGGCAATAAGTGAACTGAAAAAAAACAGCATTTGGCAGATTTTTTTTTTACTGGTGTCCTTTCATTCCTTGTTTATTGTTTTAATTTGCTATTAGATTTTATGGGATCTTTTCATAAGAGTTTTTTGACTTTGCGAATATGTTTATGTGTTAAAACTTTTGTTCAGTTGTAAGTGTACTGCCTTCTTAATTGTCCCTTCCCAAATTCATTGATATACATTATTAAAACCTCATTAAAATTGTATATGTCAAAGTAAAATTTTTGTACATCGTATAAAAGAACATTACTTCAGATGTTACAAAGTGTGCTGGATTTGATTTTTGTTTTATATAGGTGTGAAAAGATAACTGCCCCTTTTGCTATGATGAATTTTGATAAATGACTTTATTCTTTTTGGCATATTTTCAGGTAGTTAAAAAGAATAAGATATGAGTCATCATTTTATTTCTCATCTAATAAGTCTGCTAACTTTAATTTCACTAAGAAACTATTACTATTTCAAGTCAACTGTTGGTTGAACATGTTGCTGTTACAGTTAAAAGCTGAGAAGAGGTGGTGAAATCTTCACTTAGCACACATGCTGCTCATACTCTGGGAACTCATAATTATGTTCATACATATCTGCATGATTTAATTTGGAATATCATCTATACCTATAGCGTCCCTTCAGACTAGTAAGGATTTAGGAACATTCTCCTCCTTCAGCTGGAGAGAAAGTGGTTAGTTTGAAGCTGTTATTTGGTGGTTGATACCCGCCAGGATGTGAAATAATGATTTGTTTGCTGTGGTTATAATTCATATTAGAAATATTGACCAACATGGAGTAATTGCCTTGGAAGCAGAAGGTTTACATAAAAGATTATTTTATTTTTTATTTCCCTGCAGCAGTTAGGGTTGCATCCCAGGCCCGTTCCCACTTTCTATACTTCAACTTGGAAAGACGATCCAAGCTGATGGATGAGAAAAGCCATATAGGTTTCCCTGTGGAACAAATAATAATTGTTCTTTAAGCACACGCTTGTCATTTATGAATGCCTAGGGATAAATATAAATGAGGTAACATTTTAAAATTTCAGTTCGTCAGTAAAATTAAACTGAAGCCTATGGGGTGGTTGGGGGGGTCAGAAATGGCTTTTAGCTTTCATATAGGGCTTTAGAAGTTATTTTGACGTGGCTATTAAAAGAGATGCCCTGAAGGTTCCACAAGGTAAATTACTTACAGGAGGAGTTTGCTTCACCCCAAGGTGAATTTTCTTCTCTACAGATGTCATTTAGAGTGAGTTACTTTTGTCAGAAACCACCCTTTTTAAAAAGAACTCCAAATACCCTGGCTAAGGTAAAATCTCAGTGCTGAGCCACTCATCTTTTTGGTATCTAAGATCAAGATTTAGGGAGTCAATACATATTTTTAATTGCCTTATGCCAAGTATTCTACCATACAACTTTTACTTGTTTCTTTATTTTTGATCACTTATCTGAGATGTTAAATATCACTGGATTCTGCTCAGCAGGAGCATCTGGAAAAGGTTTCTTTTTCCTTTTAAATTGGTTTCTACCTAAAAATCTTATTCTGCTTATCTTGTCATTCTTTGAAGTCCTTTTCCTAATTCTGGAAATTCCAAGATTCCAGTGTGGCACCATTTTTCTGCACAGACATATGCCTATTTTAGCCAAAGAGGGTGGGTATAAACAGAACAGACAGGCCTCTCCAGGGTCCCATTTGGGGCCTTCTCAAACTTCACATAGTTATAAGCAGACTGTCACTGTTCCCATCCACACATGGACTCATTATTATAAACTAGCCTAACAAATCACAGGAGTACTCTGCCTTAGGGAGTTAAGTTCACCCGACTAATGTGAAGCAAAAGAGAGATGGAGAAAAAAATATTATGAAGGCTGGGTCCAAACAGGCCTGTACGGAGGGAAATGGTTGCCTCAGGTGTAAACTCTAATTCGGACTTCTAACATTTTTTCATATGGTTAGATTAGTTTGATTGTCTCTGCTTTCAGATTATTTGTGTGCTTCTACCATTTTAATTAGTCTGACCTTTTCTTTTTAAAAACTTAGTTTTAAAAATCTAGTTCTCATTAAGTCCCTAAAATAAATGTTTACAAAATTTTACTTAGAAATGTTCACAATTTCATCTTAATTTTTCATCAGCAGCAAAAGCAAAGTTGCATTGCTCATCCAGCTTGGGTTAAATTATCCTGAAGTGTAAGTGTCTTTCGTTTTGTATTTTGATTTTACCCCAGGCTGATTCAACTATGTTCAGAAGTTCCCTGACATCTTTCAGTTTTTCATTATCAAAGGTTTCTAAAGATTACCTCTGAGGTTTCCCAAATTTAGATTACAAAGGAAAAATATATCCATATAATTTATATTTCTGTATAGTTTTTTATTTTTCTTAACGAGAAACGTTTGGTTTGGTTTTTGAGATAATATTTGCATCTTTTGTATTTTCAGTTTTCAGAACTAATACTTTTTTAAAAAGGCACAGATGTTAAATTATTTTGGCACAGGGTTTTATACTTTGATTTATAGACATCAAAAGAAGTATTTTTCCTCATCCTCTTTGAACTAAGCTGCAAGAGAACACAACAAATGGGTCACGTATACTTTTTACTCACAGGTAGAGTCAGCCCAACATCTGTCACCTGAAGGGACTCTACCTCCCACCTGCCCTTCTCTGACAGACCCTTCTCCGTGCCCTCAGTCTTCTTTGGCCTCTCCATTTATCCCCATACTTTCAGTGAGAAACCAGATTTCTGTCAATTCTCCTTTAGCAACATTTTTATATTGCAAATGCTGACTACCTGGTTTCTGAGCCTCCCCAGATCTCCTCTTTTAACCATGCTTGCGGTAAACAGTGTCTCTCCATCGTGTGGAATGATTACATGAATCCAATAAAGAAACTCCTGGCTCCCCATCTGGACAGCCCACACCTACCCTACATTGGCTTTCAAGGCCACTTCTCACTGCCTATAACAAAAACCTGTGATCTGTGGCCCAGGCTCCTTGGCCTGACACTCATGTACATGGTAAGCCTTTCTTCGTGCCTAGGCCTGTGGTATTTTCTGCATGCACTGATGAAAGCACGCCTGCTTCCTTCTGGAGGAAGCCACCTCTGGCCTCTTTGTACAACCTTGAATTCTCCCTCTATATTTGTCATTTCACTCAAACTATTAAATTGGGGGCAGAGGAGTGGGAGTCTTGACTTATTTTTTCACTTTTTATTATAGAAAATTAGAAACAATCAAAATTAGGATAGTTTAATGAAGTTTGGTAGTATGTGCTGGGGTTTCAATAGTTATCAATTTCAAGCTAATCTCATTTCATTTATGTTTCCTACCCATTTCTCCCTTTATTATCAACAATGGATTACATTAAAGCAAATCCTAGGCATCATATAATCTCATTCATATATATTTTAAT